GAAAAAGCCGAAAAGACGCCCCTCCTTGTAAGTCTATCTCTCTCTTATATATCATTTTCATGTGTGCTTATATATAACAAAAAAAAAAAGTATGTGTGCGACTGTATATGTTGTATATGTACACTGTACAATGTCATCGAAAGGCGTAATATGCACGTGTGTGTATATATATACATTTAAACAACATACCTACTCGTTACCATGAACACACACGCAAATACGCATACACACGTTTATACCCAAATGTGCGTATGTATGCACATATACATATATGTATTTATATACAGGAAATATACATTTTTAAAAATGATGTCAGAGGTTCTTAGCGCTTAGCTGCGATAGATTCACACCCCAGGTTTATCTCAGTCTAAGCACGTAGCCCCATAAAGATTATTATAATTGCACAAGTAATCAAATAAACTCGTACAGAAGGTTACGGAAATCAGCAACTCTTTAAACTTGATTTCAACTTAATCACTTCACACTTTTTTTTTGCTAACGACAATTCCCAGAACATTAAACCGCTCAAGGTTCGGAATGCTACGAGCCCAAAATTAATGTCTAGAGCGTCTTCAGCGACCGGGAAATGTTATAAATGTCGGGCAATTTCAAACACATCCGGTAATTTTCTCCTCCGTCGGTGAAAAATTGGCATCACGAGTCATTTACAAGATAAGAGACAGGCAGATAAACTCTCCGTGATATAAGTCTATAAAATATTTTGTCAGATAAGGTGGTGATATTTTTATTTTTTCTTCGACATGGCCGCCTTTTATGGCGCTTAAACACGAGATAAGATAAATTGATTTTTTTGGGGGGGTGATAATTCGATCATGACTGGCATTACCAAAGTTTCTGATTTGATGTATCATTTTTTTTTTTTTTTTTTTTGTGTTATTTTTTGGTGTATATTTCGCCTTAGAAAGTACGAAAATCGATAAATTGTCTCGATAATAGATGTCGCATTGTGAAAGGAGAAAGTTATATTCCCTTAGCCCTTAATTTCGGACCTTAAGTATGTAATTAACCCAAATGCACATTGGGTTAATGAGCACGCAGGTAATTAGAGGGCGAACGAGAGCAAAGGTGAAAAAGTGATAACCGTGACAGCCATGGATAAACATAACTAACTGGAACTTATTCGAAAACAACAGGAAAATAACAGTTTCGTTTCTCGTGAAATCTAAGAAAAGGAGGGAGGGAGGGGAGAGAGAGAGAGAGAAAGAAAGAGAGTGAGAAAGTGAGTGAGAAAGAGAGAAAGAAAGGAATTGAGGGAGAGAGAGAGAAAAGAAAATCTTGCATCACATCACACTGAGATAGTAATTAAGCTAATGAGCCGGGGTCTCTCTCGGGAAGGTAATTATTAGAGGCGACGGGCGGGCGAAAATGGCAGTGTAAGCGACCAAAAGTTCCCACGCTCTGAGATTTTTTCCCACGGAATCTTAGTCATGAATGAAAGAGTGAAAGTCTGTCGCTCCAACATCGGGCGGGCGGGCGGCGGAGCCTGGAGAGGGAGGCAGATAGAGAGAGGTGTGTGTGTGTGTCTATCTATCTATCTATCTACATATATATGTACACACACACACACACACACACACACACGCGCGCGCGCGGGTGTGTGTGTGTGTGTGTGTGTGGTGTGTGTGTGTGTGTGTGTGTGTGTGTGTGTGTGTGTGTGTGTGTGTGTGTGTGATCTATCTATCTATCTATCTCTCTCTCTATATATATTATATATGCACACACACACACACACACACACACACACACACACACACACACACACACACACACACACACAGCACACACTAGTATATGTGTGTGTGTGTGCGTGTATGTCTATCTATCTATCTATCTATCAATTTATATGTATGTATTACATACATACATACATATATATATATATATATATTATATACATATATATACATATACATTCACACACACATACACACACACACACACACACACAATATATATATATATATATATATATATATATATATATATATATATATATATATATATATATATATATATACATAACATATATATATACACACATAGTACACACACACACTCACACACACACACACACACACACACACACACACACACACACACACACCACACACACACACACACACACACACACACACACACACGCATATATATATATATATATATATATATATTATATATATATATATATATATGTTTATATATTATGTATAAATACATAATACATACACACCCATTCCGATATAGATAGATAGACAGATATAGTTCTATTTAATAAAACAGGAATACACAAAAATGACAAATTCATGGAGAATGACGTATGGAAAGGGAAGCATATATATGTGATAGAAGTAAACCTAAGAACGAAGAGAAGGCAGAAGCAAATAGACGAATAACAAAAAAAAAAAAAAAAAAAAAAAAAAGAGAGAGAAAAAAAAAAAAAATAAAAAAAATAATAAATAAAAACAAAAACGGGAAATACGGGATAACAGAAATGTTACGATACAAGTTCATTGATAAACGAATGAGTAAATATACATATACAAAAAATAAATATAGAAGTCCATCACAACATAGACGAATCAATTGTAACAAAAATGAAACGCGAACTTTATAAAATAATAAATCAAAATATGAGAGACTGGAAGTAAGGTTAAAAGGTCGAAAGAATAAACACAAAATATTTTTTTTGAGGGCAGAGAGGTGACGAAAATCAGATAATGATTAAATGGAAAGAAATGGTAAAAGAGAGAAAATAAAATGTTATCAAGACGATAAATAATAAAAATAAATGTACATTGTATAAAAATATACGTAAAGATCCGATAATATTAAAACGAATATATATGAAATCTAATATAAGACAAAAAAGGGGAAATATTAATTATACGAGCATGCATAAACGCAAATAAATACATGTCTATCAGTCTAGACATGCATATCTACCAGAGAGATAGATAGGTAAATGCATATCTATCAGATAGATAAGACTGTTATATACATTTATTTTTATGTAAATGCGTCACTATATATGAACATTCATTGGGTCGAGTCTCGCACAATTTTAACAAACCGGCCGACAACGGACACGCATATACACAGAAATGCATATCTGTCCCCATTTCTCTCTCTCTGATAGATATACATTTCTCTATCTATCCGGTAGATATGTCCACACTGATATATATGTATTTCTTTGTGTGTATTTGCATGTCGGGCTTCGCACAATTTTAACAAACCGGTTGATAGTATAAGTAAAATCAGAAAAAAAATGAAGACAGCCAAAAAACGAGAAACTATAAACACAGATAGATATAGTACAAGAAATAAAAAACAATGGACGCTTGAAAACGGAAAAAGGGGAGACTCAAATAATTGATCTTGATATACTCCAAACTTCATCCCATTTTTTATGAGGAGAAATTGCACGTAAGAGGCTAGAGCTGATGCGCCGAATGCAGCATATCAGAATATAATTCAGTTATCAAATGATTATTATTATCCTACCATTAATCGTCATCAACGCATCGAGTGTATCTTCGCCTTAAATTCAAATAATAAAAATCAAGACTAAATTATTTCCGTCCTTTCAGATTTATGCTTCAGAAAAGGCAAGGTGTTGATGAAAAGTTTGTCGTATCTACACCATTGCCAATTTGGAAATTTGCGATTGTCAGATAAGTTGCTAGCATGATACAAAATTTTGTGAATGGCGAATCCAAATAGGTAGGTCCAAAATTTTGAATACCTCTTACGAGGTCTTTCATTAGCGTCTCTCTAGCACAGTGTTGTCCAAACATTTTCGCCTATTGTACCATTTATTGACTTCTTGTACTGTCCACCATGGCTAAACAAACTTTTATTTAGGATAATAATATACTAATTATGAAAAGACTGCAATGCAGGAGTGTTGGTCAATAAATTCGAATTTAATACACGAATAAAAATGATGATTTAATAACAAAATGCTTGAAAAATACTTACACAACTTAATGTAAGATGTGATTTAGTAAAAAGGCATCTACACAAAAGGGCTGGAACTTTTCTTCAACCTGTATCCTTCAAGTTATGAATACATTGAGGCCTGAACACGAAATGATAATGTATCACCATTTACTGTAGACCACATAATGACATTATAAAGAAAAAATGCTGTAGTCACAGTAAAAAGGGCCATGAGAACCAACTACTGTAGAGATGGCAGAAAATACATGTCACATGGCCACCGTTTTATTCATGTTATCTCACCCAAGGAATATCTCACCTGTTTACCCTTTTCTTGACTTTTGTAAAGATACTTTTATTTTCATTGCTGTTAGTAATAATAATAATATTATGATAACCATGTCAATAATAATAAAATCAACCAATAAAACACATTTATTTTCTCGAGGAAAGAGGAAATCAAGTGAGGTCACGAAGGCTTACTAATTTTCTCCTTGGTGGCCGAGCACTTGCAGAGCCATCTATGTGTAAACAAAATAAATAAAAGAAAGCTACAGTATTCAGTATAATTTGTCTCCATTAAATGAAAATGATACAATAAACTGGGTATATTGAAGCACATTTTCAGCAGTATCTTGCATTAAAAAAAATGCATTTAATGATACAAGACGCAGCTAATAAAACGGGAAAATCACCCTGTGCAGTCTATATATTTACATGAAACATATATATATATATATATATATATATATATATATATATATATATATATATATATATATATATATATATATATATATATATATATATATATATATATTATAAATCAAATTGGCTGCTTATTAAACGCAAGTGTTACTTTAATTTCATCACATATGGCGTAATTTTACACTCTGCGACGCGAGTTTGAGAAACCATTACCCTCCAATAACACTAAATCAAAATATGATCAAGTTGTCAAGTTCTTTAATATGTCAATCGTGGAAATGAGCGTTAGCCAACATCTGGAAGGTAAAGGGGGAAGAAAAGCTTTCAAACAAGGTGTATATGATCACTTTATTTGGCACTAACCTACATCACAGTTATGTCGGTGTTCGTTTATACTATTTGTTATACAACCACACCAGTTTTATTATTTATTCTCTATTCCTTAACGCTAATACAGACTTCAAAGTCACACTGCTAAAATGCTTCTACAAACACATATCACTTAATTACATGGCACATAAGAGCAAATATATAAAAAAGACTATATAGCGTACACGTGGCCAGAAAGCGTGCACAAACAGCGGTTAGAATGATGGCAAAGATATAACATGGATGTTAGTAGAGCTATTCGTTATGGTGATGTGCATTGTAAAGGACCAGCTATGGTATTCTTATTCATCTAAATATGAAGGCAATTATATGTGGATAATTAAAATCGTCTTTTCATGTACACCGAGATCTCAAAGCCATGTTCTCCGCGCATGTTGCTGCTCACTTATTTTTTTTATTCTTGACTTAGTCCGAATCTCTCAATTCATGTTGAGGTTTCTTGTTATTATTCTTTAAAATCTTTTTACTCATTAGCATATCCGTGAGAATCCTCATTTTCCGCATGCAATTTATAATCATAAAGAGTTTACAAAAAGATCAACCGCATGGGACTATATTTACGTGAATCTACATATTCCGTTAGCAATTTGTAATGATAAATATTAAAATAAAGTCTACAGAACTTACGAATATATTCAAGTAAATCTCCATAGTTTCATGAATAACGAAAAAAAAGAAAAAAAAATCTAAACATTAACTATGATACAACCCAAAGAAAATGTACTACTATAGTATTACTGTAGGCCTATAGTAGACATGAATCCTCTCAAATAAGCAAAAATAATAATGTGCAACTATAGAAGGTTTACTACACTTGTATTTTTCAAAAGTGAATGAACGCAGCCAACATGGAGATACAACATGGCTCCTTCGTTATTCTCACAGCCAAATTCTCCGTCTCACTGTCTTGCCCGATCCTGAAAAAAGGAGGGAATTTCAAATGAGATTCATTAGAAGTGAATTCTAAGGATAATAATAGTAATTATGTCATGTCATTTTATCTAATTGGATTTAGATTTCTTAAATTGGTGTGAACTCTTTCTTCTTTCTTCCCCCTTTCTCTCTCTCTCTATCTCTCACAATATATATATATATATAAATATATATATAAATATATATATATATATATATATATATATATATATATATATATATATATATATATATATATATATATGTATATATACATATCACGCGCACACACACACACATATACAGACACAGACACAGACACACACACAGACACACAGACACACAGACACACACACACACACACACACACACACACACACACACACACACCACACACACACACACACACACGCCAAACCTCCATCGGATTACTCACGCCTTCTGCACCAGCGGCCAGAGTAACCGAGCTCGCACTCACACACGGACCCACTGCAGGTCCCATATTTACACTTCCTGGAACAGCGGCTGTTGTTCAAGGCGTCGGTGCCCAGCTGTCCCAGTACGATCTCGCAGTGGTCGCCAGCGAAGCCGTGGGGGCAGCGGCACTTGTTCACGTCACGGCACCTTCCTCCGTTGACACAAGGGATGACACATTTGCCTGTGGAGGTAACGTGAAAAAAATGTGTTTGTGATCTAAGGAAATTCTAAGGAAAATGTTTAATGATAATTATATGTTTAACAGAAGCATATCTATGAGGTTGATAATAACGTTTATGTTGATGATAATAATAATCTTAACATTTGCCTGTAAACAGCTGGGGGGGGGGGTGCTCAGAAATAATAATGATGGTTATATGGGTAATAGAAGATGATATTAATAATTACACTTACGAGAAATAATGACGTTTATGGTGATGATAATGATAGTAATAATCATTTCAATATATGCCTATAATAGTAAAAATAATAATTATAGTAATAGTAATGATAATGATACTACTACTACTACTGGTAATAAAACTAGTAATGGTAATAAAGGCAAGAATTAAATTGCCACTCAGTATACTTTAATCCTTGTGATTAACAAACTTATCGGTCAAATTAGAAAAAAAAAAAACAGATAAGGTCATACGACCATACTGAATAATATCTAGATATCATCCATATCTTAAAGAACAAAAATTCAACATTATACCTAAAATGGAACGGAACTCTCCATATCTTTATAAACTTACTAAATTCGCATCTGTTTCCATAGTATTCGTATCGCGCATTCGCAGGTATCCTTCTGCACACACTTGCCTCCGTTTTCGCATTTGTCACGACAGATCCCTGCAAAATATAAGGGTTAAGGGGAATCAAACTCCAATCGTACGCACTTTAACACGTATAATGTTTCAGGACATATGTTATTACAGAGCAATAATCATCTATAAACCTTTATGGGTATGGACTTATGATAAGCTATCGTATAAGCTACAATACAAGTTATGAGGCATTGCACGTGAGTTATCTCTATGACTTGTAATAAGCTGTTACATGAGCTCTTATATAAGCTGCGATATGGCAAGACAAGGTATTTTACTAGAGTACAATAATACTTAACTACTATAATTATATGTTACTACTGCTTAAACAATATTGTAATATAATACCATCATTATTACTTCAATAGAATACTACACAGAAATACTGCAATATATTATGATACAATCCAGGATATGTTAACAATTATACAAGCAATATGAAGTTATCACACAGAAACAATCTTGTAAATAGCCTTTATCTTATCTTCCAGCCTTTTAAAATCCGTTGTTGCACATAGGCCTTCCCCAGTCTGCACCACCTCGTTGAAGTACGGTTTACATTACAGGGAGGAAAAGGGCCGTACCCTACCACGCTGGCCCAGTGCGGTTGGTGGGGGTCCGCAGAGTATTACGACACGCAGTGACATACCTTCGAAGCATTCTTTTCACGTCCCCCTATCCACAGGGGATGTAAATAGCCCTTTAACGTGTCTAAGTTCGTCGCCTTTCACACGAGACTCCAACCTCAAAATCTCGTCCTTACCTCCCTCACAGTGACGCCCTTGGAAGCCAGGGGGACAGGAGCAACGCCCCGGGGTAGTGCAGGTGCCCCCGTTCATGCACTGGGGGTAACAGAGGGCCGTGTTGCAGTACTGGCCCATGTACCCTTCTGGGCAGATGCAGCGCTGGTCCACGTCGCACACCCCGCCGTTCTCGCATTTCTGGTCACATTCTGGGTCGGGACCTGCAGAGTGAGGCGAGGAAATGAAGGGAAAAGGGAGGCTTGGAAGATAATAATGAATAATAAACAATAAACACTGATACTTAAAATGTCATGGTATTTCTGGACAATGAGCATATCCAAGAATGAGATAGATAGAGAGAGAGAGAGAGATTCCTCCTCCTCCTGTTGTCAAGGTTGATAGAAGGGACCATTAGGCTAAGAGAGTATAAGCAGCAAGACCACATCTGTCGAGTAGTCTGTCAGCAGAAATTTTATCTCAAGGGTCCCTGAGGCAAGAGATACTGAAAGTATGTTACATATTTTTCAAAGGGACACACCACTCCAATCCTTCTTTAAATATGAAGCAATTCTTTTTAAAGAAAATCAAACAAACAATATCAGCCTTAGTAATTTTCCCTTCTGTGTCACAAAACATGGACAAAGGAAATATAATTGAGAGATAAAAGGGAGAGATAAATACATTAATTGAATTATGCTAAAATATAAGATAAACAGACAAGACAAATAAACAGACAGAAATACAGATATAAAAAGATTGCTTACTTGATACTAACACAGGAAATAAAACTAAAAATACTATAAATGGCATTAAGATAAGAAAGAAGAGAAATCAGTAAATATATAAAGATTAAATTGACTACTAACATACAGACAAAACAAGACACAATAAACATGATACGAAGAGAGACACAGACACGAAGAAGTAGAAGAAGAAGAAGAAGAAGAAGAAGAGAAAGATAAAAAATGAACCATTAAATAAAAAAGCTGAGACTCACGAGACCCACCATGCTGTGTACACTCCTTCCTGAGTTGGAGTCTCAGTGGAGTCCCAGGGAGTGGCTTCCCCTTCAGAGACTGGATCAGCAACCCGATTCCAAAGGTAGCCACTCCAGATGCATTTCCTGTGCACTGGATGTTGATCGTGAAAACTGTTGGAGGGGCAAAGAAACGGGTGTTTTTGAGCCAAGTTAGTTGTCGAAGTAAAGTGAAAAAAGTTGTGTTTTGTGATTCTACGGAACACTATTTTTGCATGATGTAAACAAAGAGAAAATGTCTTGTCTAAACCGTAATGCAGGAAACAAGAAATACGTATATCTTGCAGACAACCCCCCCCCCAAAAAAAAAAAAAAAAAAAAAAAAAAAAAAAAAAAAGGTATATATATATATATATATTATAATATATATATATATATATATATATATGTAAGGCAGGCTGAAGGGGTAAAATCTGGGCATCAGGGGGGAAACGAAAAAAAATCTACGTTCTGTGCTACTAATCAAGGGAAGAAATCCCCTTTGAAGAAAAATAAAGTACAGTTTATACCTTTAATTGCAATCAGAAAACACATTATCTTCATTCCAAATCCTAAATGTTACTATAACCTCTATATCACATTCTAACCCAAAAAGTCAGTTCTTCAACTTTTCTTCTTTCTTTTTTTACCCTCTCTCCAATTCTCTCATTATCTCCTCGATCCACCATCACCATCCCACCCTCCCTCCCTCATATCTCCCTCCTCACCCTCCCTATCCTACCACTTCCCTCCCTATCGCTGTCACTCCCAAATGCCCACCCTCCGATTTCATTTTCTCTTTCTCTCTTTCTCTCCCTTCCCTCTTCTTCCCTCTCCTTCCCTCCTCTCCCCTCCCCTCTCCCTCCTCTCCTCCTCCCCTCCTCCCTCCTCTCCCCATCCTCCCTCCTTTCCCACCCTCCCTTTCGCCCCCCTCCCTTCCCTCTTCCCTACCCCTCTCCCCA